GATTCATTATATATTAATATTATATAAAAAGTAATATTATTATTTAATAGCGCTAAGACATCTGTACTCCTTACTTGCCTCTTCAATTCTCTTACTGTTACTTAATTTTCTCCCTCTTTGGAAAAGTATCACTATTCAGGGAGGGATATAGGAGTACATATTTATATGAAAGATCTCCTTTAATTTCCGCCGAAGAATTATCTCCTAAAGTTTTTCGTACTTATACAGAATTATCCTGTATATATAGTACAAATAATTATACATACATATGTATACGCTTCGTTGCTTGCGAGCGACGCGCTTTAAAGCGTGTGAAGGATCGTCGATCTTTTATTTAAGTTGCTCAACAACAACATCTAATTGACGATTCTCTTGGAATGAATTATTACGTGCACTTAAATTTCCTCGCAATTTATCACATTTTACTTTCGTGACATCGGAGACATCGTGTATGAATATCTGCAGCCACGTTTCATATCCACCAACGACGATATTTTATAGACATTCGCAGGCTGCAAATAAAAGTTTTCGACGCGAGGCCGTAGCAAGTTATTTATAGAGAAAAGATGATGTCGCACGAATACTTTCTTAACCCACTGCAGTTTCTGGCGAGCGGCCTGATGTTGTTTAGTCGTTCCCAGGCGAGGCATTACCTTCGTTTCCAAAATACACCGACTGTCACTCCGCCCACCATAACACGATGAGCGTGAAGCTTACGGCGCTTACGAGTCCTTCAAGCTCATTTGGTTGATGGTCCACGAAAGTTAATTTGCGCGGGTGTCAGACGATCAGGGGGAATTCCGAATCACTTCTACGTGTAACATCAATTATGCTCGCAGTTTCGCCGGCACCTCATCGATCGAATCTAGACGTTATCTCGCAACGTCAAGTAAACAGGCTGGATCAAAACCTCAGCGGTCCCCTCCGCAAAGTGTTCCATGACGCCGGGACATTATGACATTCGAAATTTATGCGCCCTCGGCGCGGCCGCCTTCAGACATTGTAGGTCAAGGAAGGGAAAATCAAGGTAGTTGATCGGCACGAGTTCCGCGTCCGTTAAAAGTCAAGGTATCTCATTTATAATCTCATTCGTCAAATCGATAAGGCAGTAGTGAAAGTCGCAACTTTCGCCGCGATGTCGCGGTGATTATGCCGTTGATTGATCCTTCGGACAAATTGACCGATTAACCGATGTCCCACGAGGGGAAGGCAGGTCGGTACATCTCGACGGTACGGTAACTGTCGCGTTTTGTCTCGTCCCGGTTCGTTGCAGCGTCTTCCGAGCTTGTCGGCCGCTCGATGATATCGTCTCCGCGGTAAATCGAATTAATTAAACCTCATCGCGATTTGGCGTACGACACTGCACTGCGCGGTCGATTCCTGCAATTTCGGGGATCCTGGCCTGGTCCAGTGTCAGCCGAAGTAAATTAAGGACGGACGATATAGATAGAAACAGGCGGACGCTCGAGGGCGAGGGAAGCGAAAGATTAACGACGAATTTTTCTGGGCTAATCGCGGTTAACTGTGAACTGTCTGTTTTTGAGGAGGATGTAGGTAAAGTTACCTGGATGCGCTTTACGTCGAAATTGCTGGCTCAAGCGACATGCGGGTGGAAAGCCACTCTTGCACGAGTAAAGTGAAATATCTGCTTTGTTTTTTTTTTTTTTTATTTGGAGGAAAGGGAGGAAAAGAGATTAATTTCTGTTTTACCGATACTCATAAGCCATCGTAAGAGAGAGACACTCACGTTCGGCCGAAACTCCCGTCGACTCGTCGATTCGGAAACGCACTGAGGCTCGCGGTGTATTTTTAACGTCGGCATGCTCTCGTCTGTGAAAGTGTCTCCACTAGTAAAATGCTTTTTGGAGAGCATATTCGTGTTTAGTGCCGCCGCTCGATGGCGGAGAATCGATTCACGCGCACACGTGACAAATCCATCCAAAATTCGGGGTTTCGCGCGACGAGAAATTATATCCGTATACGCAACCGATGCGATCATCCCGCCGTGATAACGAGTGATTAATGTGCTCCTATGGTTCGTCGTCGTCGTCGTCGTCGGGCGGAGGTTCACGAGGCGGTGGATGCGAATCGATGCGTGCGAGAGAAGGTCGATTCCCGCGATCAGGCTCGCTGAAATTTCCATCATGCCGCGAGAGAATTCGCCGCGCGTGTCAATCTCGGAGTTGCCGAAAATTGAGCTGCCGCGGGGCCGATTTTGCTCCACATGAGGGCCGCGCGACTCGTAACGTAACGAATTCCCTCCTCGTTACGATTACGTTACGGCGTTCACTCGACGTGCTGGTGTTTCGACTCGGGGGTACTCTGTGACGGTGATGATTGTCCTTACGCGGCACGCGTAAGGATTTACGCGCAACGTGACGGTTCACGCCGTGAAGGAGAGTTGCCTTCGTGTAGATCCGAGGTGTCGGCGATTGGGGATCCACGATGCACGCCGGTATCAGGAGCACGTTCCTTGGTATGAAGATATTCCCGCGCCGGAGACGGAAATCGCCCGAAGGTGGGAGAAGGTAATGGCCCTCTGTCTTTCTCTCTCTCTCTCTCTCTTCGACGCGAATACTAATTGTCCGCTCTTCTCGTCTCCTCCTCTTGCCTTCTCCCTCCTCTTACGTCGTTTCAAGTCGCGGAACACTCGTTTCCGTGGTGAACTATTTGCAGATTGGATTAAGCCGCGTGGAAGGGAATCAATCGACAAACGGGAATCAATGTCGTCGTTCGCCTCCTTCCATTCGCGGGACATTGCACGCAATGGCAAAACAATCGCTTTTGTCAAAAGAGATTTGTAACAGGGAAGGGGGTCTATAAGAGGCCTCCCCCCGTGCGTTAGTTTAGGTTAAGTTTAACTCCACTTTATTATTATTACATATCGTTGAAAAAATTAAAGTTAGCTTGCAGCTAAAAAAGATATAATCTCAACCTTAAAGAGCGAAATGTTTTGAGTGTGTGTGTGTATTTACCATAACGGTATCTCCACTATATTTTTACTAGTTATATTATAATAATTAATTATTATAAATATATTAAAAATATATTATAAATATTATTATAATATATTTACATATATTATAATAATTTTATTCTCCTCTTAAAATTCCCAATTACACACTTTTTAAATTCCTACTTAAAGTCGCGAAAAACACTGCTCCAGCCAGAAGTCGAACATGGACCTCCCCATTTGCAGGAAAACGCTATATTCGGTTACAAATATAAATCAGAAACTCTGAAGATATACCTAATTAAGAGAAAGATAAGACCTGATAAAAGCTGTGCGCTGGATTTTAATGCGAATAAGTTTTTTAATAGGAGGATAATAACGTTTGACAGTGTTAGGCACGCGTCGGATATTATTCCGGTGTTATAACGTACGCGGTGAATTAAACTTTCCACGTCAAATCGTCCCTGAATTCCAATTATTCTTATTTATTTAACTCTCCCCTTAAAATTCCCAATATTACGCATTTTTTTTTATTTTTATTTTAAATCACGCAAAATACTGCCTCAGCCTGAAGCTCCCCACCCTTGTCGGGTGGGACGCTGTACCAATTCGGCTACCGAGGTTTCGACAGTATTTCTCGTAACAGAAAATCTTATATGTTGTTTGTTTTGGGTCGAAGTACATACTAGACGATTCTGTCACCAGGGTACACCAAAAACCGTTTAAAGTTGCGAGAAATAATGCCTCAGCTGGGAAATGAACCTGGGCTTCCTTACTTGTTGGGTAAGATGCTGTACTAATTCAGCTACCGAGATTTCGACAGCATTTCTCGCAATTGAAACGTTTATATGTTGTTTGTCTTGGATCAAAATACAATACAAGGTGCTTCTGTCGCCAGCGTATTAAAGAACTAAACTATATATCAAACTAAACTATATATCAAACGCTCTGAAAATATACATCTAATTAAGATGAGACCTATGCCGTATATTGGATGTTAGTGCGAATGAGTTTTGAATAGGATGATAATGCTTGATAGTGAATTAAATCTTCAAACCAACTCTGATTGCAATTACTATTATTTAATTAATTCCCTTAAAATTCTCAATAAATAGAAATTCGCTGTGGATGAGATTATATTTGTTTATGTACTTCGTAAAAGACTTTGTTTTATAATTAAGAAAAAGGGAACTTACAAGATACAAATCAAACTTCAAAAAGGGTTTATAAGAGTTCACGCGCAGATATTATAGTGCAGTAAAACTAATATTTTAATTAGTGATGGTTCTCAGAAAGATGAGAGAATTTATTTTCAGTGTATAAAAATTAAATCGCTCGTTTCAGTCCTATTGGGTCTTTCTTTAATTACATGGGACTTGCATTTATCATATTAATCAATTAAGATGGTCCAAATTGGGACCAAAATGCTTGTAGAATCTTCTTTATGAAGTAAATTAAATTTTAAATGCTTCAATAAAGCATATAATAATAATAAAGCGCAATTGAAGAGAGCTAATAAACTTTTATAGATCCTTTTACAAATTTATTTTGATTTTTAATCTCAGAGCCAATTTATATTAATTGAAAGAATCGTTTTTATGTTGAGTAACGGCGAGAATATCGGACCGCATATAAATCGCCCTTCGTGTGAATTATCGAATAATAATTGTAGAGTAATTTCCCGCGGAAAGCGGATATTCGATTGTATACAGCGAGAAAGCGTGCGATGCGGTCGGCAGATAAGTTGGTGAAATTGATGACTAATTTTTGTTTTATTATATTTTGAATAGTTTTTTGCTATATTTGCGATCTTTACGTTTAAATTTTTACATTCTTATTTTTATTTATAATTTTATTTAATTTTAAGTTGCCCTTTTTTCTTTGCTAGTGCTTGAAAGCTGTTTTCTTTTTCTTTTCTTTTTGCATTAGTTACATCCAAGGAAAAAATATTGTACTAAAAATTACAAAAAAGTTTTGTAATCTTGGAAGATATAGAATTATAGTCGAAATTACTATAAATTTAAAAATGTTACGCACGTTTTTGACTTTTGACTACAAAATTTTGACTGCAAAATTATTGTAATTATTTGAATGTTTTGTATATCGTATAGCAGTCAGTAAAATCATCAAATTTATTATTTCTATAATAATTTATACAATTTTTTTTTATATAATCTAGCTTTACGGCGCAGACAATCACATTTCAAAAAGGTGATAACATTTAGCGAAATAAAAGAATTACAGTCAATAGAGTTATATTAAAGTTTATAAACTGCTTAAAAACCTACTTTAAACTCTGGAAATGTTACAAAAGACCTTCTTAGATTGCGGTAATTAGTTCTTAGAGGAGCTGCTGTATAAGATGATAATAAAAAATATTACTCTACTTATCAAGAGCAGTCAGAGAATATAGGATTTCATTGCCGAATCGGATATATTGCGCGATCACGGGCGGGGAGTAAATTAATTAATTTTGCGAATATTTCCCGACCACTTTCTCCCCGCGCGAGATTAAATTTCAGTCGTCGCTCGACGCCAACTGACCTTTCCGCACTTTAATGTGTGCTAAACATCGGACGCAAATAGCCGTTCGCCAAAGTTAGGCTACGCTAAAATCGAACGTCCGATAAACTCGTTTCTGCCAAGCTCGTGCCATCTGACGCAAGCTCGTGAAAGTCAATAAGCAAGCAGTCGGAAACTTCGCCCGAGAATGCTTCGAAATATCGATATTTCGTTTACGACCGACTACTTTCCTTTTTTTTCTCTTTCTCTCTCTCTCTCTCTCTCTCTTTCTCTCTCGCGTCGACACTGCTATCACGAGATATTGAATTTTCGAAATGAGGCCCGAGCAGGCGACCGATGCTCGTGAGATTGCGATACCGAACGAGCGGAGGTGTTGCTCTCCCCTGAAATTGACGCGGCCTTAAGCTTCGCCCGTGTCCGTTCTGCTTTTCTCTATGGCGAGGAGATACTACTTCTTCAAAATTCACATCCTGCGCCGCAATTCGGAAATATCGAGCGTGACATACTTTCGAGGAATTTATATGCATACTTTGCCGGTGCGCGGTTTCCATCGACGCGCGTCGCAGGGAAGAGAGATCGACGTTTCGAGCGTCGCGAGAATAAATCGTGTCAAATTAGCGAGGAACTTATTCATAGACGAAGGTGCATTCGCGCTCGTTAGGCGCAGCATTGAAATAGACGGGCGAGGGTATATTTAGGTAGGGCATCGCGTAGATCCATTCAGCGTCGCCCTGCAGAGCTTTCGGCGAGTCGATTCAATAATTTGGCGTACCACTTCGGGCCGACGACCAACAACGCGCGAAATTGCATTCCGGAGGCCGTAATTAACCGACTCGTCAAGCGCTTCTTTGTTCGTTGAATTGATCGCGCGAATACCTGGGACAGAATTTTACTTGACCTCACTCTCTCCTCCCCCCCCTCGGATCGCGGATGCTCTCACCAATCGAGAGCGAGCCGAACGACGCACGATCGTATTTCGCACGATAGACCTCGACTCGGTGCTGGCAGTTTCCTCCCGACCGGAAACCTTCTACGTATGCGCAGAGTGACGTGGCAGTCTCATAGAGAGTTCATACTAAGGAACCCTTTATTTACGCCTAAAATCGTCATTGGAAATTGTTTACATCAGGCTGCTACGTCACGTCCGTGCATGCGGAATAGGTTTCCGGTCGGGAGAAGATTCTCCCGAACTGCCAGCGCTGCCTCGACTTTGATTTCCCGTCGGGAATTCATCTGCAGCCCCTTGAGTTAATTCGCTGTTCGTTTGCAGCCCAGTGCTCAGTGAGTAATAAAAGTCGCAAAGACGTCGAGCGGAAACTTAACAAAAGCCACTTCGAGAAAGAGGGGGGAGCGACTAAGCCGAACAGTATTGACCCGAGTCGCGGATTGCCTGCAGGTAATCGAGATATTCTACCTCGCTCTTCTACCACCTAACCCCCCTCTTTCTCGAATGCGCCTTGACTCACCTGCGCTAAGTGCCTAAGTGCCTTCTCTACTTTTTGCAGCACACTATCTTCCGAAAAGATCTATAACTGTTACACTTACATATACAGGGTATTTCTTAAGCACTGTCCAAGATTTCAGGAATTGATTTTTCATCTTATGAAGAAAGTTCGTGTGAACGTGTGTGTAGTCTCAAAAGTCTTTCAGAGAGATACAGAATGTTAAAAAGATTCTAAAAGAAATTGCGATTTTTTATAGCTCCTAAGTGAACAGTTTCTTTTTCAAATTCGGGCCAATAAATTAACAGGATATTACCTTCATTATTGACTCATAATCACCGTTTTGTAGAAAGTTAATGGCATAGAAACGGTTTGGGTAATACATTATTGCTTCGAATTTTTCTAGTTTGAACTGTTAGTAAAAGTTATTAAAAGTGCTGTATTTCGATAAAGCCATTAGTTTAAGAGATATCTGCGTTTCAATATAGAATTTTTCATATGTTGCGTCTTGAGACGAGTCTCTTTTGAGATTATAAGGATTTTTTTATTGCTAAAAGCGCCTCTGTAAATGTTATAAACTTCCTTACTGGCTTATGAACACATTTAGAGGCGCTTCTATCGATAAAATAAAGTCCAGAATAAAAGTTTATAATTGCACACATGAACTTTTATTTCATAAACTTCATAAAATGATCTAAGAATCAACTAAAATATTAGACAGTACTTAAGAAACATCTTGTATACTTTTGTATACATAGAAACTACATGATTGAAATCGTTAGAGTTAAAAATTATTCTCTATTTTTCTTAATCAAAATGTTCCGGTCGCGCTCCATGCTAGTACTGACTGACTCGAAAAGTCCTCGTCGCTTACGCAACGTTCTTCCGCTTCTTTCCTGTTTTTTTATTGTATCTCTTTCTCGGAACGCGTGCTCCATGTAAAGGCGACGTCGATACCGATGTATCTCGTCGGCGTCAGCCGCGTCACCGTCGACGCATAGCATGTCGTGCATATTCGACGGCCGCACTGGAATACTGGGGCAGAACAGATCTAGGGTCGCCGACTCGGCCGCGAAGCGCGTCGCGGCGTACCGAGGGGTGCCGTTCCATAAACGGTTAACCCCGCGGAGGATTCCGAAGCTTTCTGTAACGCGCGCCGGCGATGGCCTATAATGCGCGCGATTATTAGTCGCGAGCCTCTGCTCGAGCGAGTGAGACCCGTTCTCGGCAATAATCGCTGTCGTAGGCGAGAGACCATGGCCCCCTTTTTAGATCGCGCTAGGCAAAGGTCTTGAGGACGCGCAGGGCGATCCGGGGAATCTGGAAATTCTATGACAGCGATGTGTACGCCACGATCATGATCGCGATGCTGTTTCCGGGGAGCGACGAGCGATTGGGGGATGCATCCTGTTGAGCGTTCTAAGATGTTTCTCTTTAACCTTCTTGAACTCACCCCACGGTCTCTCAGACCACTCCCTCCCGACGCAACACTTTTATTTACTATTTTTCCTGTTACAAATTATAAGCTACCTTTTATTTGTTTGAAGATGTTTGTTTTGGGGCAAAACATCATACTTTAACAGACTGTAGAAAAAGATGGTTTTTTGACTTTAAAAATCAATATGGCGGCCAAAAATTTTTAATTTTGATTTATTTCAATGAAAGTACGTTTTGAAAAATTTTGATAAAATAAGTGCATACTCAGCGAACCCAAAACCCCTTCTATACGGATTTTCACTCAAATAGGTCAAAATTTCAAATTTTCGGGCCGACATATTGGTCCGCCATTTAGAATTTTGAAATCTAACATACATTTTTTTTTTACTTTTTAACAAATTTCGATGTTTTGCCCTAATTTAGATGGTTTTTGAAAGCCTATCCTTAGTGGTTTTTTCTTGTGGGCCTTAATGGATTAAAAGACGTTTTCAACTTTAACAAAAAATGATAGTTTATGCCAAAAACTAAATTTAACATTATATTTTTATATGAAAATCGTCCGTATAAGAACTATGTTTATAAATTTATATTAGTATTCTACAAATATTCTACAGTATTCTAAATAAAAATATAAACTTTTCTTAATAACTATACGTTCTTTAAACAATATCCGTTACTTATTGCTTACGTATATGATATCTCATATATAGCTTATGTTATCTACATGTAGCGTTAAGCATCATAACTCACGCGTAAACACTTTTCTCTCTTTCTCTGTTTGGTTCCCATAGTACTTCTGTTTCGATTTTAAATAGAGAGATTCTAACCCATGTTTAGGGCAAGCATGGGATTCCCAATTGGTATCGTAGAATGCCATAATCAATTTTAAGATATATTTGAGCATTCTAATCGGAATTTATCCTGTATCTGGAAGAATCTTGAGAATTTTCTATGCGACTTCTAAGAAAGAGCGAAAAGAGTTCTTGGCGCGTGCTCAGCGACGCTGTCCTTCAAAGGGCACGTCTGACTCGGCTACGTCACTACGTGGCACATCGAACTACCATAAATCGAAGGTGAATGCATTATCTCATCAGCGGTACCGGCGCGTTCCAATTCCTGAAGCCGAGCCCCGCTTATGCTGCTGACGAGAGCGTTCACGACACGACACGACACGATACGACACGGTATCGGCACGACACGGATACACACGCGAGACCGCGGCAGCGAGTTAGAAAGAAAGGAAGCGAACGGCCGACCGGCTGACCAACCACGGATACGCCTTCGGGTGCTTGCCTACCATAAGTCGTGCAGGTCATGCACGACGGGTCAGGAGAGAGAAGTCAGTCATACCGACGCCGCGCTACCATTCGCGTCAGTGATTGGTCGAGCCTGCAGGAGCTCCGTCTCGAGGATACCAAACCGGATTGCTCGCGAACGTACTAACACGTGTAAACGTGCGCGCGTAAACCTGACCTAGACGAAGGGCCAGAAGCTTTCGCAGGAAAGCTCGTGGATGGTGTACTCGCATTATCTTCGGACAAGTTTCTCCGTCACGTGACGACGGGTGGGTAGAGAGATAGGGAGAGAGAGAGAGAGAGAGAGAGAGAGAGAGAGAGAGAGAGAGAG